GATTGGCTGTTTTCTTAATAGGCTTCAAATGCCTGGGTGAGCCTTCCAAGGGGCTGTGGGGCAGGAGCACACAGTCACTGGCTGCACAGAGCAACACCTACAGGTGGGTACAGCTCTAAAACGTCAGCTGCTGATACCTTCAGGTGTTACTGCCACTACTGCAGTTTTAATACTTGCAAAGTTTCATCCTCACCAGTTCCCCTGGTGAAGACATAAAGCAGCTCCCACTAGTATTTAAAGGGAATTAAATGGAAGGATTTCTATTTTTGCTGTATGTATTTCTACCCCGAGGTTAATTTTGCTGGGGGATTTTTTTTTACCCCAGGGCATAAAGGGGTAAAGGGAGCAATAGTTTAAGAAAAGACAGCAAGCTGAAAACTATGTGCACTATGTCTAACTATGTGAAATCAAACCCTCTAACAACATTTCTTTCAAGAACATTCAACAACCAAAACAGGTAATGCTGTTTTTGATGACTCCTGCTCTCTTCACAAAGCCTGAAATTCTATAAAAGCAAGAAGGTGCAATTTCTACTAGACAAAAACCACTCTTATTTCAAAAATTTAAAATAAAAGAAAATCAGTAATACTCCCTCATGTAAACTATACAGACTATCATGTCAGCTACTCTGAAACTGAGCCCTTTAATTCAGTTCAGAAAACTTTGAGCCTGGCTCTTTCATTAGGACAAACAAGTAAATTTCTCTTTAAGTCAGTTACACTGGTCCTGTCAGCTTGGAGAATCCCAGCTTTGTGATCACAGAAATGTTTAGTTTTTCAAGGGGACAGGGCAGATTGAGCAGAGAGTCCAGGATGTGGCCCTGCCTGTATATTACTGTGTATATTACTGTTTTGCCACTGAAGGTCCAGCTTCGAGGCTGCAGAGCTGTCAGTGACCAAACATGACAGACCACCCATCGGCCTTTTATTAACTAGCACTTGTTCCCCCCTCTAATCCTATCACCAGAGTAATCAAAGCTGCCATGTCCCAGGGTTTGATGGAACAGCAGGACCTGGGAAATGAAGACTGATTTTGTTAACAAAGTCATTCCTGCCCCATGAATGCTGTCTCATTGGTAGAAAGCGGGGAGATGAGGTTTATTTGTGCAGAGAACGAGGTGGCAAAGAAATGAAAGGGGGAGAATGGTGAAGTGTGAAGTTTAATCTGGCACAGTCTGAGGTTTCTTTCTTTGAGGCCGTCTCTGATCCAATCAACACTGGTTTGATATTTAACATCTCCCCCTGCAGTTGGAAATGATACCAGCTGGAGGAGACCAGAGTCAAGGCTTCCCAAACGGGAGAAAAGGGGGTGCTGGCAGCTCCTCACCAGCCTGACAGCTTCCCCACCAACAGGCTGGCATGAAGCCGGACCCTGACACAAAATATCCCCTACAAACCTTGGGATTCAGGGCATCTGCAATGAGCTGAATACAGCCTGTCCCTGAGGAGAGCAAGCTCAGGATGGGATGGGAGAGGGATTTTAGTTCTAATGCTGAGGCAGGGCTATCCCCTGTCTGGGACTGGGGATCCTGCTGAGAAACAGGATCAAACACATGCAGGAGATGCCACCCACCTCCCCAGGGAACAGCAGTTTGGGTAGACGAGTAAGACCTTCCCCTTGCTGACTGTACAGACCTTCAGTGGGGACACACTGCAATCATTCCAGGGTGATGGGGGTCCCATCACAGCCCTGGGCCATCAGGGAGGATGCAACAGCCACCACCACAATTCTTACTCCAGCAACATCCTGGGGAAAACTTCCCATCACAGATGCACATGAGGGTCCCAAAGAAGAGAGAAAGCTTAGCCCTATTCCCAGCTTGTGCTCAGAGGACACACAGATGAGTCCTCACAGCCAGCAGTGGCTGCAGTGCCTCTGCCATGATTCCACGAGAAGACCTGGAATGTCACCTGCCCCTCAGCCCTGGCCAACTTGATTTTGCCCTTTTCTGGCCACTCTACATAAACATCAGTGCTGTCAAACAGACTTGTCTTCTTCCTCATACTTGCCTCAGCTCTTTCTGTCCTACCCTCCATGAAAACCCTGAAACTTCAAATACCAAGGAGCAGTAAAATTTCAGCCTGACCCAAACCTGCTATGAGTTCCCCTCCATCCAGGCTCCCAACACTTCCTTCTGCTGGGATTCAGACACCTTGACACCAGCTCTATCATACCTGGGGCCCGCACATGGAGTGATCAGCAGCTGCCAGAGTCCCAGGAGGTGGGATAACACTTCCCCCCAGGATCCAAGCAGGAGAGCAGCCGGTCAGCAGGAGGCAAGAGGATGGGAGTGAGGTGGAAAAGCAGCAGGAAACACTGGGCAAGGTTTTCAGGGGGAGCAAGAATCGAACTACAAAGTTTCGGGGTTTACAATAGAAAACAATGCTCCCTGCCTTACCTGCAGGAGCTGGCTCTCCAGGAAGCAGCTAATTATATGAGCCACCTTAATCTTTTTATCCGGCTAAGACAATCAACATTTCAAAGCCACGAACAGAACATTTCAAAGATCGTTCCTGGTCAAAAATGCAAGTGTATCCATTTTCTTTCAGAGCAGATCAAAACCAAGTACCACACTGGGACCACTCCTAGATTTCCTCCTCCTCACAGTATCAGATTAACAGATTTGGTGTATGTAGTCAGATTAAATATTTGCAGTAGCACAAAGCTGCCTTTGAGGAGAAGAAGTAGGGAAAAAAGCTTTTTTTGTCTTTTTTTTAAAATTTGCTTAGGGCAAAAATACTGGACTTTGGGGACGTGGGAAACAAAAGCATTGATGTGATTCAGCAATCCTAAAACCTGAATTCTGAATGCAGAAATAATGTACAGTGTTCCTGTAATAGTAACGCTGAAAACAGGTAAAAAACCGCTGATACCCTTAGCAGATTTGGGACTATAATTTATCACAGATGTTCTCATCAAACTGTGCAAACACCCTGCAAGACAAAAGCTGCTCAATTTCTGATTTCCATTTTATTGTGTTTTAATTATGTGTTGCTTAAGGAAGGCTCCAAGACCTGGAATTGGGAGGTGAAACCTTGCACTAAATTAGCACAGTAATACACCAAGCAGTAGGACTGCCAGACGGTGTGATAACATTACAAATTACTATTGTTAAACAACTAGCCAGGTGTCAGGATGCATGGAAATCTAGAGGAAGTAAGAAAATAAATATCTGGTTTGTTTTGTTTAATTTTGTCTCCTGTTGTTCTGGTGGCCTTGTTCCCAGAACAAGCTTCAATCTAGGAAATTTCCTCCTGAACGCTGATCTATTTCAGCAACTTTGTCAATTCTCTCTAACAATTAAAATGGAATGTACTCCTTTAATCAGCACAAATGTTTTGCATAAATGACTGTCTTTTGCTTGCCAAGAGGCGTAATACCTTTACTGTGCTTTTTTAGATTATTTTGGAGCAAAATGAATGAGAATTTTTTGTTTCTATTTAAAAGTTGGACAGAGAAACAATTATGGTTAAAAGCAGCAGTGAGTTTTGTACTCAGTTCCTTTTCCTTTCTCTGTTGCTCACTCTCTCTGAAAAGAAAAAAATGCAGTATGATTCACATTTAAAAGGCTTCCAAGTGGTACATTTTTAACCAGGTGCTTTCATATGCTTGATTCTAACTGCCATTTTTGACCTAATACAACCAAACACTATAGAATGACTGGAATGGTTAATTATTTTCACCTCACCTTAAAGAAGGGGTTCAGCAGAAAGTATTCAAACCTTTCATATAGAACAGTTTAAAACGAATTCCTTGATTTGGATGTGTGTTAAATAATGCAAACATCCTGAAGGGTATTCTTTTAATTATTTTTGTTGATAAACAAGAAAATACATTCAAAAAGTGTATGTATCAAATCTTCTCTGAGGGCTGTATTCAGAGTTAAAACTCCTAGTTGAAATACTGGATAAACCAAATGTTAGTGAAAGTCAGACTTTTTCTCCTTCAAATAGTTCCTACCGGACTTCAGGGGAGCAGGGGGTGAAGGCACTCTAAGGACATTTTAATCACACCAAAGATTAGTCCTTTAATCCTTATTCCCACATCACCAAGAATTTTTATGGTCAAAGTAGGACAGTAAGATAAGGCTGGAAATAGACTGATCCAAAACTAATGACAAAAAGCAGGTAAAAAATGAAATATCATAGCAGTAACTGACACCATCTTAAATCTCTCCTGGATTATTTGTTTTCTTCCACACACATTCATTTCCTCAATTTCTCGTAAATCTCATTTCACATAAACAGTTCCACAAAGCAAAGTCAATAGCTGTTACTGTGTTCCTGATTAATCCACTGAAATGAAATAGATCTCATGACTTAGTATTTGGTTGTTTAAAGCTAAATCCATTGAAAGAATTCCGGATTCCAGTTACACCAATAACTTTTGTTTCTTAAACTACATCCTTTTCTGTTTGCTGAAATTTACCTGCTCTAAAATGAAATAAACCCATGCCTATTGCACACTTAATTTCCCCCAGTACAAGGGCAACATGAGCCACTTTGTTTTGACCCAGAGTGACCACTAAAAAGACAACTGACAGTTTGCATGTACTTAAATCAATTTGAACAATGTCGAAATTTCTATTTTCATTGTTCATGCTTCATCCTCTTCCTGACAAGTACCACAGAGCTGCTTTACTTCAAAACAAACAAACAAAAAAAACCACTTTTTACCCAGCTCTGGGGCAGGATGGGAAGCATGGAAGTTTCCCTCACAAGTGGCAAGCAAGCAGACACACACATTTCACACCCTGGACATTTGCCTGTCAAATAAATTATACACATGATACCCACACAGAGCTTGCCACGCACATCACGGGGTTGCAGCAGGCAGCACGGATCGGCGTGACGGAGAACAGGCAGCCCAACACAAAAGCTGCCGAGGCCCATGAATGACTAGCCCACTGTTTGGGGTTCACCCCCTTCAACTGATGGAAGTGCAAGGAGAACAGCCCCCATATCCTGGGATAAGGCACGAGGCCCAGAAAGCCTCCTTACCTGGGAGAAGTTGAGCCCGTTCAGCGGATGACATTGCTCCTCCACCCGCTCCACCGCACCCGTCTTCTTCTTCATCCTCTCGGCCTCCTGGGCGAGGTAGAGATCGAGCACCGGCACCCCTCTGGAGCGGATGTCCGTCTCCGTCAAGGAGTTCACCATGAGCATCACCCAGACGGGTCTCTTGCGCTCCCAGTTCCCGGCAATAGCGTTGAAGAGGTAGTCGGCATAGAGCCCTTTGCCCCGCTGGTCCGGGGTCATCCAGTGGGGCAGCATCAGCTTGATGTAGTCCAGGTGGCGTTTGAGGCGGCGGTACAGCTCCCGGGGCAGCACGTCCTGCAGGTTCTCCCCGTGGGGCAGCATCTGGCAGCTGGCCAGCCCCGAGATGGTGTAGGGGTCCGTGAGGTCCAGCTCGAAGTACACGCTGGAGCTGGCGTGGAAGGCGGCCTTGGAGTTGTCAGGGATGAAGTCCCAAACTCGCGTGTAGGGCACGTGGATGGTGCCGAAGAGATAAGCGGGGGGGTCACGGCGAATGGTCCAGAGGAAGGAGTTGAGCTCTCCTTGCTGCGGGAAAGACGGAGGGGCCGGTCAGTGATGGAGGGGCACAAAGGCAGGAGACAGCGATGTCACCCTCGGGGCTGCCCGCAGGGCAGGAGGAGCGGGGGTCCCGCTTCCCCCTCTCCTCCTCGCACAAGCCCCACGCGGGCTCGCAGCGAGCAAAGCCCCGGGGCACCGTGAGGCCCGCGTGGGGCTGGGACCCGCCGTGACCCTCCGCTCGCCCCCGCATCCCTCCGGCCCCGCTCCAGCCCCGGGCCCCTCCGCGGGGGACGCGCGGGGCAGCGCCGCCACACCTGCGGGGCCACGCGCGCCCGCGAGCGCGGGGCCCCGCTCCCTCCGCGCGCCCCCGGCCCGCCCGCGCCCCGCGGCCCCCGCGCGCCCCGCGGACACGCGCGCATCCCCCGCGGGCCGGCGCGCCCCCGGCCCGGCCCGGCCCGGCTCACCGAGCGGGGCAGGTCGCACTGCCCCGTGTCCATCTGCTCCCGCCGGGCCGCGGCGTCGGGCAGGAACCCCCCGAAGACGATGCAGATCAGCGTCAGGTTGAGTTGCATCCCGCTTCCTCTCGGTCTCCTCTCTCTCCTTCCCAGATGAGCCTTTTTGGATTTCTAAGATCTTTTTTTTTTCCCTCCCCCTCCTCCTGCTCTTCCCCCTTTTTTTTTTTTTTTTTTTTATTCAAACAAACTTTGCCAGTCCCATCTGCATCTGACAAGTGCAGGGGGAAGGACTGGCTGCCCCCTCCCTCCCATGCTCTCCCCCCTCCCGCCCTTTCCCACCCCCTCTGGCTCCGGGCTTGTCAGAGGCGCTGGATGCTTTGGGGAGGATGGTTCTCATCGCCAGCCTCCGCCATGCTTTGGTGTTGCAGACCGGAGACGCTCCTTCCCGCCCCGCCGCCTCGGGAGGAGGTTGGGAGGAGAGGGGCGGGGGGGGGGGGGGGGGGGGGGGGGAGGAAGAGAGGAGGAAGGGAGGGAGAGCAGCCAGAAAGTATAAAAGTTTAAAACCAAGATTTTTTTTGACTGGTTTCTTTTTTCTTTAATTCGGCGGTCGAGAAGGGGGTCCCGCGGCGCCTTTCGGAAGGCGGACGGTGCTCGGCGGGGCGGCGGCGGCCCCAGCACCTCGGCCCCGCTCCGCGTTCCCCGCTCCGGAGGCCGGACCCGCGCGCCGGCGGAAAGTTCCGCGCAGCCGCCCCGGCCCGCCCGCGCCTCCCGCCGCCCGCGGTCGCCGCCAGGGGGCGATGGCGCCCCAGCTGCGGCTGAGGGGCGGCGGCGCTCGCCCGTGGCCCGTCCGGCCCGCGGCACCTGCGCGGCGCGTCCAGCGCGTTTAACACCCGACAGCGCGAAACCGGCGAGCTCCCACATCCCCAGACTGCCAAAACCAGTTGAGAGTCAGTCCGACGGGGTTTGTCACGGGCAGGAACCGAGGGCAGCCGGCTCCCCGGGGGATGCCCTAGGGCGCCCTCCCTCAGCCCTCGCCGGCTGCTGACCCGCGCGGCCGGGACACGTCCGGCTTTCCCCGGCCCCGCCGAGCCCGGCGGGGAGGGCAGGACAAGGACGTGGCCCCTGCATGGCGCGGGTGGCACCCTACCCCGGACCTCAGCTGTCCTCACCGGGACCCCCGCCTCCCGAGCTTCACAGGAGGATGGAAGGACGGAAACTTGTGTAGTTTTCAAACATGCATCATTAGCGATCCAGCTTCCACTTGAACTGAAAAGCTTCAGCAACACGACCTGAGGTGATTCTTGGTGACGGGAGCGCTTGAGGGTCCCTGGGGGTCTGGAGCCCTCTGTGGAGGTCGTTGCAGAAGGCGATTGAGTTCAGCAGCTCCAGCTCATACCACTTACCGTGTGTTTAAAAGGTTTCAGAGCAGAGGACAGGCTGAGAGTGCCCATCACCATCACATGCAAGAGCTCCTGCCTCTCCAGATACATTCTGGGCAAGGATGCGTGTCAGGCTGCCAGACATAGCCCATTTTCCTTGCTGGATACTGCCCAGCCCCGGGCATTGCCCTCATCCTGCTCTGTGCAGCAGAGCCAGTCTGTATCCTGGCTTCCCCATCACCTCCCTGACTGCAAACCCTGCCCAAAACTAGGAAGTTCCTCACTGTATTGACAATGATCAAACTACCAAAATTTACATGGTGAAATGCAGTCATTACCACTATGATGCATGGAGCCAGCAGAGTTTTGAGTGACAGACTCAGGCCCACCTGGATGTAAATGTGGCTTCCTGAGAGCCCCCTGGAGACTGTGAGGGACACCGGTTGTTGTGTGACTGATGGACCAAAGCAGCTGTACAGGCTGCTGAAGGCACTTAGGAACCACTGTGTGTGCATCCCCTGCACGCTGCCCCTGGCAGGAGAGCATCCTCCTCACCACAGTGTTGGAACCAGCAGCTCCTTTCTAAGTGATGCCATTCATCCTCTTCTCTCTCCTCCCAGATCTCCCAGACAGGTAAAAATCAGGTGGAGTAAGGGACTGGTTTTTCCTCATTGTGTTTCTAGTTCTTTAATATTTCAAATAAATATTCCATTTTCTAGTTCCACCCTGAGAGATATGGTTCAGATAAGGGAAAAATAAAGAAGGACAGAGAGGCAGAAGGTTTTTCAGCACACAGAGTGTCCCATCACTGCTGCACAGGATGGTCCAGTGAGACAAGCGAGTCATGGCCACGCTGGGTGCTGGTGGCCTGCAGTCACCTGTGGCTCCGTGCTGTTGGGATATGGAGTGGCAGCAGCTGTGTGTGTGTTGCTTTGTAGGCAGTGAGCATTCAAGTGCCCTCCCCATCAACTCACTTCCCTGGCATTGCTGGTGTGATGGCACAATCCCACAAGGATGGGGAGGGCAGGGCCTGGCTTATTGTGCCCATGGCATCTTTCTCTCTGCAGCAGCCCCACCTTTCTCCCGAGTGTGCCTCAGCACACACTCCCAGCCCACCCACCCCAAACGTGCTGGTGCTGCCTGGTCACTGTAGCTGGCCATGCCCAGACCTGAAATGAAGGTCCAGAGCAGGAAGGTTGTGCAGTCCATGTCCCAGCAGATGTTACACAACAAGGGCTAAGTAGAGTTACAGCACAAGATCCTGCTGCTTTTCCCTAAGCTGCCACAAACCATTTCAAAGCTACAGGCTTGATGATGTCATGACACCGTAACATGGAGCTCCATTTGTTTTCTTTTTTCTTTTTTTTCTAAATTAGATTGGAACAGATCTTCAAGATCATTAAGTCCAATCCATGCCCTAACACCTCAACTAGATCATGGCACCAAGTGCCAGATCCAGTCTTTTTTTAAACATATCTTGGGGTGGTGCTCCACCTGGATCAAACTCTCCTTGCATTCAGCAAGTGCCACGTCCAAAGTGACATGGCTGCACTTGCCTGGCTTAGTGGCTTTGACTTGGCCTACTCTTTCTCTAGCTCCTTCCCAAATCTCTTCCAAAGCCAAAGAACAGAGGAGCCTTGTCAGGGGGCTGCTAGGGACATCAGGAGTGATGTGGCCCAGAATCTCACGCCCTTGAGAAGACTCCTGGGAGGTCTGTGAGGATGTGAGGCCCTGCTCAGTGCCGGGTGCTGTGCGGTGAGGGAGGCGATTGCCCTTATCAATAGCGTACATATCAAAGCAGGGCAAGAATAAACAAACATCTTTGGCGCTGTGCTCGTCTTCCATGAGCCAAAAGGCAGGTGTGTGTGTGTGGATGTGTGTGTGGATAGCAAGTTTTCCAGCCATTTCCCTGAACTCAGCCCTGATGTTGCAAGAACTGTCTAGCTGTGAAAACACGGCCTCGCCTTGATTTATGCCGCTTGTGGGTAAGATGACTAAGAAGAAGAAGGGGGGGTGGGGAAAAAGGAGCATAACAGGAACAGAAATCCCAGTGGGAGCACGATGAGGGTGTGTACAGATTTGGTGGGACATTCAGGTTAGGGAAACTGCAGCCAGAGCTTCAGGCAGTAGGAAGAGGAGACCACAAAACCACATGATATATGTCATGATGTTCCACCTAAGATACAAAAGCACACCACAGGTTTTATGAAGGCAACTCTTAGAGTAAAGAAATTAATTCTTTTGTGAAATTGTATCATTTTTTTTCCTCCTTCAGATGACTTCCATATGTCCTCATGATTTTTTACTTTCAAACACAGCAGTTTAGAACAAATCTTAAGTAACGTTTAGCCTGCGTCTAAAGTAAATATTTACAAAAACATTAAATAATGGTGCTGATCTTTGGAAAATGTGTATTGCTCCCTACCTGCTACTGTTTTGTGCCTATCTGGAGTAACAGAGAAGCTTTGTAATACAGCCCAAGGCTGTAAAAGCAGTATAACAGTGTGATTAGAAGTAATCAGATGGAAAATACTGACTATTAAAAACTGTGAAGAGAAAAGAGGGCTAAGCTGCAAATAGAAGGTTACATTAGTTTGGTTTAACAAATCTTAAGAAAATTAATGAGGGAATTGGCTTTTAATCTTACAAAAATTGTACTATTTTTGTGGAAGCATAATAAATAGTTATAGCTGTTATTTATGTCAAGTATCATTTTCAAAGAACCTTGCTAAATAAATATTAATCATTTCACCAACCACTTAAAGGCAACCACTTTAGGGGTGCGGTGAGGCAACAATTTACCAAGTGAGTTGTGCTAAACAGGAAGTGAAGACAGCCAGATTCAATAAGGAGTCTGTGTGGGTATAAAAAATATTTTTGGAGGCTTTAACAATATCTTTAATGAGGTAAAACAAAACCCCATGGAATAGAGGGTAGATTTCTTTGTTAATGAGAAGCTTGCATTGGAACTTGTAATTACAGTGAGTTTCCAGCAGGTAAAGAAGATTATTATTACGTCTGAGAGAAAACAAATTGTGATGGATCAGTACTTGCATGCAGGGAAGTGTAACATTTTTATTAAAGAATGTGCTTCTCTCTGCTCACCTTCCTCACAGGAAAAACACCATATATTGTTGGCCTGTGATGTAGCAGTATTTCCCTGTCTCCACACTTTCATTTGAAGGCACTCAGTGGATTTCAGTCTCTGAATTTCTTAAAACCTTCCTGCAGTAAGGAATTCTGCTGGCCAATGACTCTCCCCAAACCTATCCTGTGTCAAAACTGGAAGAATAAGAACCCAGCTTTTCCTTTTTCCACAAATGAAGCTGAAGGTGTCTTCTGCTCCTGCCAGAGATGGCAGATGAGATTCAATCTTCTTGTATGCTACAGATCACAGAACAATCTAGGTTGGAAGGAACTTCCTGAGATTTCTGGTCCGACCACTCTGAGCAGGGTTCATTTCAATGTTAGATCGTGCTGCTGAAGTTCAGTTAAAGATGCTAATTAGATTTCTTTACTCCTGTACACAGGTGGCATTCTCTGTAGCTGTCCTGGACTCAGAAAAGTATCAAACCTAAAGCAGTTGCACCGCTAGCTGTCATGCCATGACTTGTTATTTGCTGTGACACCTGTGCTGTGATGTGTCTGGCAAATAGATTTTCATGCAGAAGATTGATTTTGATGTTGTAGTCACATAAAACATTGTGGTTCAGTTGTGCAACTCATGATTTGAAACAT